GCACAGATTGGTATGCATACTGACATGGAAATGTAATAATTTGGTCATATTAATTCAAATGTGTCGTATAAACTTTGGTAACGGGACGTTCACGAACAATCAAAATATTCTGCAATAGTATGGGCGGGGCTAAATGACCGACTTTTGAAAGCTTTTTTCCGATTGGTCAGTCCGCTTCAGAATGACACGTCGCCGGTTTAGGTCACAGAGTATTTAACTACATACTTTTTGTACAAGGAAATACAATGTTTCTAAACATATTAGCGTAATATGTTTGTTAAGGTGTGTTAGAATGGGGATAGTACGTTGTTTTTCGTTCAACATACCGGTCTCGACTTCAAACCAAATTTCATGTTCTAATCGCCAGTATAGCCACTCAAAACAACGTACTATCCCCTAAGTGTGATGCAAGAATTGACATTTACAGTCTTTTTGATAGAATAATTGTTTGCGTTTCCGCGCCTTTCTAGCGCAATCTCACTGAAATACAATGACAAAGGCACGCAGCACAGCATTCCGCCTGGTCACATTATCCTTTTTATTTTTACAGTTTTAACGAGAACTTTGTTTTTATTTTAAACTGCATACCGTCGTAAAAGATGACACATAGGGGACCCCAATAGAGTTATTAGTTTCCTGTTTAGGGGGCATTGAACGAACAAACATGATTTTGGACTGCAACTACAACACATACAGTTTATTTTGTTCTGACAAATACTATTTCTATGACTGTATACAACGTATTAGTAAAAAAAACAAATCTGCTTTAAGACCTGCAACTGCATAGACACCGAATTGAAAAACAAATTACTCTTTTAGATCACATGAACACGAAATAAACACTTTATACTTAGATGGTTCTGCTACAGAGGAACGCTGTTGAATTGCTGGTCGTGATTGCTATCAACGACGTCCTCGTAGAGAGGAGAAATGATGTCGACTATCGTCAGAAGAGACTAATGACCGCTCTACATCCAAACTAAATTATTGTAATTTGCAGACGTCCGAACAACCTACTCTTTAGTATGTAATACCAGTGCAGATCGGTCATAGTACCACATATACACAGTCTTCCGGATGTGTAATAACGAAATTGTTGATTTTATATAACTGTTAACAGTAAGTCGAGTCTTGTGAATATCTGAGGTTAGGTTTATAACCAAATAAAAAAGATTTCAAAAGCGCATAGGGTGCACACAAACTGCTTCAATGAATCATGGATCTCAATCAGTCTAAAGAACAAACGTTAATGATAACAACATGGAGTCAAATCGCACTATTGATGTGAGGCAGGGTGAAAGGAATTGTAATATCATGACAAACGTACTACTACCATATAACACTATGGGGCAGTGTAGGCGTTAAGCCTATGGAAATGGAATGTATAATAGACGCGGAGGGCGCCGTAACGCATGTCTGGGGAGCGCTTGCCTGATGTGTGGTATAATTCACAGATTATTCGTAATTCCCTCTATCCTGTCTTCTTGAAGGCAAACAATTGATCACAGTTTGACTCCACACAACAGAATTGTAGTATACAATTCTCAGTGTAAGGAAGAAATATTGTGATATTCTGATACCACAGACACTCCTAATACCGTATGTCCGAATCGTCTTATTGTATTTCTTTAGTTTTTAAATACATTTTCCCTTAACGTTATTATTGAGAGATGGAATGCATCTGTCATCAATTGTATACAATATGATGGCGTCGTCTTTACATATAAGCACTATGCCATGGATTGCATAGAATATAATAAACAATGTATCGTGAATAGGAAAAAGTATCGTAATTGGTTTACAACACTGACGAAATACACCAGATTTATTGATTTTTGTTGTTGTTCTCATTTTAAATAATGGGACAGCAAATCTAGCGGGAATAAACTGTGCAAATGTACTAATGTCCTGTTGGCACTTGCATGGCACACAGTTAATATCTAGTTGATATTTTGACGTCATGTACCTTTTCGACAGGTGTTTATAGCTGAAAACTATAACTCTTACAAAATTCATAAAAGTGATAACAGCATTGTTTTACATGAATGTAGTAAGTATATAAATGATTGGTCAAAAATCATGAACACAAATCTACTACATTTATCTGCACAAAAATACCCTGGCCACAATCGGGTAAAAAATATACTTGCTGTATCCCAATTCAGAAGGTTTCTATCTATTCTGGGGACACTGCTGCCCCAATTGTAACTCTCGGGATTCTGTATCACCTCAGTGTTAAACCCAACAAAACCCAAAAAAAGATAAGAAGGCGACTTCCAGAAAGCCTATTGGTATTTACAATGATCTATTGTGCAGCCAATTTTTTCGATATTGATCTATTTCTTTAATCCTTTACATATGTTTAGCTATTTACTTTTGGTTTGATGTGTTTATTTTCGCGAATTTCTTTTTTAACAGTATTGTTGGCCCTAAATGACTCAAAATATCGATGGACCTTTAAACAATACAAAAACAAAACAAAAACAAAACCCTGTCATCACTTCATCTAAACCACCTTTTTGCGCAGTGAAAGTCAATTCAAGTTGTATCGACGTTCGCATGTGATCAACCATAAATTACCTGTAAATGCTATCGCCGTCATAATCGAATTTCGGCGTCGTTGCGCCTTAAGCTAACGCTTGTTTGGAAATGTACGTCTTGCCATCAGCTAAGTCACAGGAAAAGTGTGTCCATAGTCGAAAGGGTCATATAACAGTTACATCACACTTAAATTTTATACCTTAACACAACATGACAATTCGGTGCCTCAAAACGTCCCAGGCTCACTTGTTTGAAACACTAGTCTTGAACACACTGTACGTTACGGTCCGATGCGATTAATATGAGCCCCTGCACACATGGGCGTTTTTCTATCTTGTCATCAGCTTACAGGGCAATGGACACACCAACATTGATTTGCGATCCCCAATTCTACACTTGGCACCCATTCTTTATTCTTTTTCGCTTACTTGCTTTTTTTTCGGTGATTATCCCTGTCCAACCATCTTTATACACTCTAAGCTGTTGAAATGACGCAAATGAACAATTAAAATTAACTCACATTTGAGGGTATCATGGTACTAGTTGTGTTTTTACGATTTTCTAACATGTGGTGAGATAATCGATCAATGTATCCATGAATCACAATGAAGTTACTACTTCTTAGGTGTCAAACTAAATCAATTTGTAACCGATACTTTTAGCGTTGAAAGCGTAATCTCCATTAAGGATTGGCATCCAATTATAATTTTTTATTAATGTCAAAGAATGGAAATGAACGGTCGTTAGTTCCGGATGCTGTTCTCTGCAGCAGCACTAAGGAAGTTTGAACACAATGCGGACAACAGAAACGTTGAGAATGAAAATAGATGTTTAACGGGACAGATTCTACGTTATTTTACAATCAATGTGTTGTGCTATCCTTGGCACTCATAGTATTTGTATGTGTAAAATGTTATGACCTGGGTGATTATGATGATATGCACTGTGACGCTCCTCATGGAGGTTGCTGTGTGAAGTACAGTGACACTCATCCTGGAGGATGCTGTGTAAAGTACAGTTAAGTATTGCACTTCAAAAGCCCCTGAAGCTGCTCCGTGTTTTTGTGGTTTGATTGGGGTCGAGGTGGGTTTTTTTCTTTTTCCGTTTTGATATTTCAGCTGTTTCTTTTAGTTTCGTTCGAACTTTTATTGTGTCCTTGTGATTTGACAATTTAACATATAGTCATTTTAGTATTTTTCAACCCTTCGTTGTCCTCTGTTTATTGATCATTGAAGAAACCTTAATTGTATATGCTACTTCAATTGACACACTTTTTCTTTTCCTTCATCACTATCATTCTCGTTGGTAGTGTCTCGGTATAACATTGCTTGCTGCGATAACGTTTGATAAGGTATACACGTACACACAAATGTATCTTGCTACAGTCAGTTTAATTGATTGAAGTTAATCATTTTTTTAAATTTTAAATAAATTCATTGAACTGAAAATAAGTTAATGCCGTAATTGGCGAAAGCCCAATTAATCAGTCAACCAAATGACTTATATAATAACATGTTTAAACTCTAAGTTTGTCCATTTAGCATATTTTAAAAACTTAATAGAACTGCAAAAACAAATACTTGAGAGAGTTGAACAGCAGCAAAATATTTGGCAATATAAGTCCAAGTAAGAGATTATGATGATACTGTTGACGTGACGTTTTGCTATGGTTACCTACAGTCCATTCTGGGTAGAAATAGGAATGTTGTTTTTTCGTTGTGACCTGTAAATATAAGAACTTTGATTTTGAAAAAAACATCAAATTGTGACGCCATGCTAATTGTAATTTAAAAAATAACTAACAAGTGTAGGATGGATGTGATACTCAATGTCACACAATGATCATTTGTTGGCAGCTTTCTGTTTGCTGGCATCCACTGCCTTTGTAACAAAGACTCAACATACATTTTAATATGGTAAATACACTTGTTTTTAGATTATGTAGTCGAAAAGTTCCAGCTTACAATGAAGTGTAATGTATTAAAGGCTGTCTGAAAATAGTGCCAATATGTACATACAACGATTTGCCACTAAGCTTCAAATAGTCTAAAATTGAAGACCATGTTATGGACAGCACACGTGTTATGATTCTTGTCTCATTTTATGGTTGAAGTTAACTGATCTCTGGAAAATGTTTCTCTGCTAAATGCAAAAATGGATTTTTTTGCTTGTGGAAATGTTCCGTTCAAACTCTTTACACTGATCGCAGTGTTGATATTTTTCGCGTTGACACTATATATATGTCTATATTTTCTATATACTTATAATGAACATTGCAGCGCTTAGTTATTCAGCGTTAAAACATGCGAACATTTCGACACCGCAAAAATTTGCCATATATTGCCGGTATATACCCGGTGTTGGCGTTAAAGATACATATGTACTCTAATTATACTGCAGCTATATACCTGTTTAATTTACAGATTGTAATTTTGTTTTCAATTCCTATATATTAACAGGCGTACAATGGTTCCATCACTGACCCTAGTATGGTAAGAACATGGCGGGCTGGCAGTGATGAAGATTGCTTCAGGAGTCAGGCAGAACAAAACTTCCAGATAGAGGGTGAGTAAATCATTATATAAATGACTCTTTTTTTTTTTAGTTAATCATAGCTGTAAGAACCAAGTTAGTTTCCTTAAAAAAATTGCTTGAACCTTTTCGAGCTGAGGTGATCAAAATAAAATATTGCGTGGGCAGTTGTTAATTCATTTTCAAATATATAACCTAATCAGAAGAAAAATCGCGAGTCACATACTAAACCAAATAAAAGAAGGAAATATGGAAATGCCTATTCAAAAAGGAGACAATTTAATTAATTTTTCCTGCACAAAACCACTGCATTTATTAAAGTTCTCTGAAGTTATGAAGTATGATTTTATCGAGATATAAAGTACTAAGGGTGGACGGAAAGTCCTTCTGAAAATGTCTTTATTGTTTTGTTTTGAGAAATATCCTGATCGAAGGAAACAGGCAAATCCCAACACACTGCACTTTACGAAATTATGTTCTTTTCAAACATAGATTCCTGTCTTGTTAATTTCACGATCACATTGTAAAAAGGCTTTTAATCTACTTCCTTTCAAATTGCATTATAATCACACTGCATGACTAACATTTTACACCTACACATCCGTGTTTACCCATTTGTATATAAAATACGTAAATGCATGTCATAACTCGATATACATGTAGATGGTGTGTGTGAATCAGAAGTGATAGGGGAGGGAGTGGTCTGTGTCACCTGATAAATTTGGTGTACATCTCTATTATCTACACAAGTAATATATTTTACTTCCGGAATATGTTTTAATTGGTCGTAGGTTTGGTTTGGTTTTATATTGTTAAACGTCGTATTTGTAATATCACAACACTAAGATGGTCGTCTGTCTAACATGTGCTTTTAATCAGAACGAGGTTGTGTGTACATAACTTGATGACGTAGTATATAATTGTATAGTAAGTACCGTAGATACTCTACTAAGGCAACTATTATTACATCTCCTTTCTTTTTTAAGATTAAATCAACTATGGAATCATTAAATTGTTGTTTGTTATTATGCAAAATATAAAATGACTAGAATTTAGCTAATGACTAGATATGTAGCTTAATACTGAAGTTATGAAGTTTACTATTGACTTTACTGTCTCTGAATTGATTCACTTACTGTCAGTGATCCTAATAACAGAACATTTAAGAGTTCCTGGTTAGTACACATGAATACACGACTGCGAATGTCAAGTTTTTAGGTAATCTTTGAACCTTGCGGGCTCTTTGATTTCGCGTCCTCTCGAGGTTCGCTGTACTGGTGGTGCTACGGTTGGTCCTGTTGTTGGAATCTCACTTGGTTGGTTGGCACGGATTTTTGGAGGTTCGCAACTGTTTCTTTCCTCACGACTGTCTCTGCTAATTGGGTCCATTTTAACATCATCATACCATGGTTGCTCCACTGTGCGTGCCAAGTCATTTTCTGTGAACACTTCGCATGACTTTAGTAAGTGTTTCCGATTCCTTCGATATGTTTTTCCTTTCGACTGCACCATTACAGAACGAGGATTCTGATCGAAACCTACAACGCGTCCTGGCTGCCAGTTATTCCCTTGGCGAATTCTGACATTTTCTCCCAGGTCAAGGGGAGGTAATTCATGTGATCCACGATCATGATAGAAATTTTGTTCTTGCCGTTTCAGTTTAAGGTTCTCTGTCACTTTTGTCATCACTTTTGGCACTAACAAGTTTGTAGAAGTCGGAAGTAAGGTTCTTGTTCTCCTTCCATACAAACGCTGTGCAGGAGATCCAATCTTTGATGACCTTGGTGTATTTCGCAGATCTAGCAGTGCAAGATATGGGTCTCGCCCACTTTGTGCAGCTTTTTTCAGTAGACGCTTTGCTGTCTGTACTGACTTTTCAGCCATTCCATTTGACTGAGGAAATGTCGGACTTGAGGTCCTGTGTTCGAAACCATACGTTTTCGCGAAACGTCGAAACACATCACATGCATATTGTGGCCCATTGTCGGAGATCAATATGTCGGGGATGCCATGTCGAGCAGATTGTGATTTGCAGTGTGTTATAACAGTTTCACTTCTAGTGTCCAACATCTTTGAAATTTCGATGAATTCCGAGTAGTAATCAACTAAGAGCAGGTACGAGTCTCCACCTACGTAGAATATATTAGTTCCAACCTTCGACCATGGGCGTTCTGGTACATCGTGTGACATCAACGGTTCTTTAACATTAGACATACGATTTTCTTGACAAACCGCACATTTTGAAACGACATTTTCAATATCTGTTGACATCCCTGGCCAGAATATGACATCTCTGGCTCGCTGACGACACTTTTCTATGCCCAGGTGCGACTCATGAATTTTCTCCAACATTTCTCCTCTCATTGATAAGGGAATCAAAGGTCGGTCCCCTTTGAATATGACACCATTTTGAATGGTTAGTTCATCTCTAACATTCCATAACTCTGGCGGTACTTCACTTGATACCTCTGAACGATTGTTCGGCCATCCTTTCAAGATAATTGATTTTATGACCCTAAGAACATTGTCATTCTCTGTCTCGCGGCTGATTTCTTGCATTTTTCTGTCAGACACCGCTAACACTAGATGAACCTCAACCTCCTCCTCAAGGTCAGAGGCTTCCTCTGCAAGGTGAGCACGACTTCATGGATCTGCCACATGCAATAACTTTCCTGGTACATATTTAACATCCAGGTTATACTGCTGAAGTTTCAACAGCATGCGTTGAAGTCTTGTTGGCGCAAGATGAAGTGGCTTCTTCATGATAATCTCGAGTGGCTTATGATCTGATTGTACAGTAACAGTCTTGCCCAAGATATACTGATGATATTTCTTAGCTCCAAAGACAATGGCTAGCATCTCTTTTTCTATTTGCGCATAACGCTGTTGGGCCAGTGTAAGTGATTTTGACGCATATGCCACAGGTTGATTTCCCTGTAGTAAAACTGCTCCAAGGCCTGTTGACGACGCATCAACAGATAGTGTGACTGGCTTGTTGACATCATAATATCGGAGAACAGGTGTAGAAGACACCATGTCCTTTAGATGCCGGAAACATTTCTGGTGCTGTTCATTCCAATGCCATACTACATCTTTTTCGAGAAGCTCTCTAATCGGTGCGCTTTCTTGGGAAAGATTGGGCAGAAACTTTGCCACATACTGGACCATTCCCATGAACCTTTGTAGACCTTGTTTGTCCATTGGTTCTGGCATTTCAGTTATTGCTTTAATTTTGTCCGGATCGGGTTTAAGACCCTCAACACTGAGTGTATGTCCTATATACTGGATTTCAGTAACCGCGATTTGACACTTATGCTTATTCAGCCGTAAGTTGTGTTTTCGAGCTTGCTCAAGGACTTGACGTAGTCTCGTGTCATGCTGTTCGCGAGTCTCGCCCCAGATCAAAATATCATCGACTATAGTCTCGACACCTTCCATTCCTTCGTAGACTTCAGACATTGCGCGTTGGAATACTTCCGGTGCTGAAGAGATTCCGAATGGAAGCCGATTGAATTTATACCGTCCAAACGGTGTATTGAATGTACATAATCGACTACTTTCCTGGTCCAACTCGATTTGCCAAAATCCACACTCAGCATCCAGTTTTGAGAAATATTTTGCAGTTGACACTTTGGATGTGACATCATCGATTGTCTTCATTGGGTAGTGCTCTCTTTTTATAGCACGGTTTAGGTCTTTCGGATCAATGCAAATGCGTAATTTGCCATTAGTCTTTGTCACAATAACCATTGAGTTGACCCAATCTGTCGGTTCCTGTACTTTGTCAATCACGCCTAGTGATTCCATGCGGTCAAGCTCAGCCTTAACCTTGTCATGTAGAGCAACTGGCACACGCCTCGGCGGATGAATGACTGGTGTTACCGACTCATCAATTTTGATACGATATTTGTGAAGTTTTCCTAATCCCTGGAAGACATCTTTGAACTCCTCTAGGATTGGTTCCTTCTTCTCCACAAGCTCAATTCTTTGTATGAGATTTAACTCCTTGCATGCTTGTAGCCCTAACACTGGTGTGACTTGATGATCCACAACTTGAAATTCTAGTGGGTAAATTTTGTTCTGGTAACCACATGCTAAAGTGGTTTTCCCTACCGTTTTGATTTTCTGTCCGGTATATGTCACCAACTTTTTAGCTTTTCCCTTCTGGAGTTTTCCTCCTATCTGATTGAAATCAGACTTGGAAATCACATTACACTGTGCCCCAGTGTCCATTTTAAATCTTGTCTTCCTGTTTTCAGTCTCTATTTCAATAAACCAGTCCTTCTCGCTGGACTTCTCATCATTTACTGCCTCAACAAACAATGGGTATTCGTCATCTGAATCTTCTTGGATATGTACCATCTGTACTTGACCTCTTCCTCTGCCACGAAATTTGGCATGATTTGTACCACGATGTGAGCTTTTCTTACTCTGTCCTTTGTCAACTTTTGTCCTACACATTTTTGCAAAATGATTACTTTTAAAACATTTATTGCAAGTTTCACCTTCTGCAGGACATTTATTAACGGGGTGTTTATAACCACATTTATGACACGACGGGTTTTGTTGACTGTTCTGATTTTTCCTCTGTGTGGCACCTTGATATCCGGGATTTTTCTGTTTGACAACATGTACTTGCGTTTCATCATTTAATGATTTCAGTTGAATCTGAGAAACTTCACTTGCACGACAAATGTCTATTGCTTTCTTCAGACTCAAGTCAGAATCTCGAAGGAGTCTATCTTTGACCGTTTTGTTTCGAACCCCACACACTAATCGATCTCGGATTAAACTGTCACAAAGATCTCTAAACTCACAGGTTGAAGCCTTTTTACGGAGTTCAGTAACATACTGGTCAATAGTTTCCGTTTCGTTTTGATTTCGGATAAAGAAACAATGTCTCTCGTATGTTATGTTTTTTCGGGGATTACAATAATCTTTGAACTTAGCTGTTATGTTGTCTAGTTTCTTCCTATCGTCTTCATTGTCGAACTTGAAGGTGTTGTACACTTCCAATGCCTCCGGTCCGATCA